CCGACTTAAAATAAATTTTTGGCGAACACTTTTGTCTGGTGCATTTTTTTTTCGAGTACAGGCCTTACAATGGTCATTTCGTAGTTTTCGGAGTCCATGAGCCTGCCGTACTGGAAGCAATGTCTAGAGTCGCTGACACCCCCGTAGTAATGCATGATCATAGTAGAATATCGGCTGATGAGGTGTTAGCAACTATTAGAAGCACTAAAAACATTAAGGCCGCAGGTATGGATGATGTAGTCAACCTCGAGTAGAAAAACTTGCGTATTGGCTTCTTCAACCATCTTATCGTTATCTGCAACAAATATTTGGAGCTTGGCTACTTCCCTGTGTGCTGGAAGTTAGCCAAAGTGATTCCAATACACAAGCCCGACAAAGATCCTACCAGTGCCCCATCAGGCTCTTGTCCTCCATCTCGAAGGTGTTTTCAAATGAAAATAACATCTTTCTCAAAGAGCAATTCGGGTTTAGCAGAGGCCACTCTACCATCCACCAACTCACCCGGGTTACTTATTTCGCTTGATGATGAAATACCGTATGCGTGATAATGTTTGCACCATCGTACAAATAAGGTTCTCCTTTCACCTGTGCATACAATGCCTTGGTTTTCTTTGCATGTACGTAACCTATAGCTCATACCGTAGTAGGCTGTGTATAAAAGAAAATGATTTATTTAGTTTGACAGTTGCACCATGACGAAGTGGCAGCGTATTCGTGATTTCTCGCGTAACATTTGAATAGGGCCTATGATCAAAATGTAAACAAACCGATTTTTGATACCATTCTGTAGCACTAGTAATTAGCTACCAGTCGTATAGGAATGTTCCGCATTATCGATAAAAATCATTAAAAATAACTTGATTTTAAAAACGGCCGCTAAACGAAATTTTTCCAATCATTCATGCTAAAACGGCCTAACCTCGGGCCTAACATATATTTTTTTTCGTTCGATGAGGTTCCATTCATAAGCCTAGCGACGTAGAAGGGCCGATGATTGAAACATTTCAAATCAAAGCTAGGCCCTACTGCTTGAGGCAGGGCCGATGATTTATTTGACGTTAAGAAAAGGCTTAGCAAAGGGCCTACAATTTATGATGACAAGCACAACGGCTTAACAAAAAGGGCCTAACCATTTAAAGATTCACAAAAAGGCTTATTACTGTGATATTAAATTTTTATCGATTTTCATGTATTTTTGAAAACGTTTCGCATGTTTTGGATGTTGTGTACTGAGATATAGTTACTATTGTTATTGTGAACAATATAAATGCCTAAAATACTTCAATTTATTTATATAGGAATTAAATACTGGCGGAAAAATTTACAATTCATTTTCTGGATTGTTTACATTTTGGACATAGGCCCTTTTCAAATGTTACGCGAGATTTGTCCCACGCGCAAATGTCGCAAAAAGACATTTCAATCGCCGTGGGAGTGTCCCGGTTTAAGGGTTTTAGACCGAGAAAAGAAAGGACAACAACTATCCGCGAAGGTGGCCACAGGTCATCCGAGGTCAGCTCGCGTTCCGAGGGTTATCGCTGCTATCAAAAGGAAGATTCGGGTGAATCCAGTGCGTTCAATAAGGAAAATGGCAAAGGAACCTGGCTTCAGACCTGGCTGAACTACGTGTGTTCGGAGCGAAAGTGATATGGCAAGTGTCCAAGGTAAAGCGATAAAAGTGGGATCCGATTTCTGAACCTGGCGTTTTCTTTGGATATTCCGATCGTTCGAAGGGACTTCGGATCTTCAATCAAGGAAGTGACAAAGCCTTTGTGTCACGTTATGGCGTTTTTCTGACCGAAGGTAGCGGAAATACTGAACAGGGGTCGGAAGTTGATCCTGTTAATAAAATAATGATGGAGTTATTGAATGATGACATCGTAGAGGGTAGTGAAGTTACCGGCTCAACAGCAGTTTTTGCCGAACTCAATGAAAGAGATCAAGAAAACCTTTTGGAAGAATACGATTTTGAAGGCGAAACGGATTACGACAGTGTAAACGATACCACGATTGAGACGATTCTGGTAACCTCGTCTGCACTCCTCTCGCAACAAGAAGGGCCTGCAAAATGTTGTCAAGCGCAGCGAGCGGGAGTGCCGAACCCCAGGCAAGTATCAACATTTTGATATGACATAGAGTGTACTTTCTGAAAAGTTTGTTAAACCCAGGTAACCGACGAGCATGAGAGGGTAATCGAGCCGCAGTCAGTCGGTGAGGCAATGGGGGTCGACGATCGTGAGCAGTGGCGTGAGGCTATGGAAGCTGAGCTGCATTCGTTGACCATCAACAAGAGACATGGAAGCTCACCGAGCTACTGGTAGGCAGGAAGCCTTTGAAGTCTAAATAGATCTTCAAGCTAAAGTTGAATCCGGACGGATGCGTGGAAAGATACAAGGCAAGAATTGTTATCAAAGGATTCTCGCAGGTGAAGGGAGTTGATTTTAAAGAGACCTACTCGTCGGTGGTAAGATACGCAAGCATCCGATTCTTGTTGGCTCTGGCGGCGCAGCAAGTAATGCGTATACACCAAAATGGATTCCGTAACGGCTTTTCTCCAGGGAGAGCAATCCGGCGAAGAAATATACATAAAGCAACCGGAAGGATTCGTCGACAGGAAGGCACCCAAGAAAGTTTTTCGTTTGTTGAAGGCAAGCAAGCCGAGTCTGGACTTTTATGTTGGACGTGGAGCTGAAACGCATGGGCTTGAAGCGATCTAGCTATAATCCGTGCGTGTATTTCAAAATAGAAGCCAGCACAATACTTGTAATCGCCGTCTACGTGGATGACTTCTTGCTGTTTTCGACGCATCAAACTTTAATCGATACCGTGAAGAAGCAGTTAATGGCGAAGTTTCATATGACAATTCTGGGAGAGGCCAAGCAGGTACTCGGTATGCGAATCACCAGCTGTGACGACGCAGTAATGCTGGATCAAGAAAAGTATGTGGATGAAATACTGGAGCGGTTCAATATGATCAACTCTAGACTAACATTTGAAAAGGGCGGAATTCCAAAATCACCATATCGAGAAAATCGCTTCCGAATTTTGATGACCTAAAATTAATCCCATTTCACGACTTCCCATTATTTGGATGATTTTATTAGCTTGACATAGAATTAATAGTGTAATCTAACATTATGCATCACTAAAAACGTAAAAACAAAACAAAAAAGTGTTTTTTAGCGTGAAATTGAGAAGAAAACATAGACCCTCGGGATTTTGTGTGTGTTCCGCCTTGGTTCTTACTTCGCAAATTTTGTAAAGGCCCACGCACATTAGATCCGGATCGGACGCGTTGCGGCAAAGTGACAGCTAAATCTATTGTCTAACTGTCAAATTTACGTCAACGCAACGCAAATGGATCTAATGTGGGTGGCCCTTAAAAGTGGAATTACGCCCGGAGATTTTTAGGTCTTCTTTTTGTTTGTTGTTTACACGTAAAATATCAATCGGATGCATTACAAATTAATCGGGCGTGACTAGATACTACTGAATCAGTACGTGCATATTAAAACAATATAATTCGTAGTTTGTGAACTGTTCTCTCTATATATCCGGAGTGTTTTGAGAAACAAGCTAGTCAATCACTTATTTCTCGTAAATTAAAAGCTCAATCTCGTAAACAAACTATACCAAATGATAGAGGAATCATTCCTCTACTTAACAGCACAACAGTTATTAGGTTACAAGATTAAGCTTTAACTCACGAAAAATCGACGATTGACGTGTTTGTTTACACATGCAATTACGCCCAAATCTCAAATCACTCCAGCTATGACAAAATAGGGTTTTTTTTTACATTTTGACTCTTCCGCCCCTTTCAAATGTTAGTCTAGAACTGCAATACAGTATCGGCGCCCATGGACCCACGGCGGATTAGTGACATGGAGTTGTAGGCGACATTAAACTGTGGCATTGTCGACTTCTGAAGTGGAATATATGACTCTGTCAGGTGCGACACAGGAAGATGTTTGGTGGCGTGGCTTCCTTGGCGAGATGTTCCAGACAGATATTACAGTCCCAATCTTCTGTGGCAACCAAAGTGCGATATGTTTGGCGTAGAAAGAGAATGGCTATTCGCCACGAAGCAAACACATCGACATGAGGCGCCACTTCGTACGAGATCAACTTGAGAGGAAGGCGATCTCGTTACATCATGTCAAATCCGAGCTTCAGAAGGCGGACATTTTCGCCAAGCCCATTCCGGGTGACCGTTTCACTGAAGCTGTTAAGGATCTAGGAATAAATCAAATTCGCGATTAAGGAGGGGATGTTGTAGTAAGCCTTGAATTTGATATTGAATAAAAAAAATATATTGTCTGTATTACATACTACTTAGACGTGTTTCAATTACGATCTAGAAACCTTTATAAATCGTAGGCTTACTGGAATCTTCCAAGGATGTCCCGATCAATGGAAAACTGAGAACTATTATCTGAAGTAATATATATCGGTCGTTTTCTGAGCATAACGATATTTTTTTTTTTCGATCTCATAAACTTTCATCTCGATTTTAAGCTTTTCGACACTAAACTAACAAATTGACAGCGCACTTTTAAATGGAATTTTGGATTTCGGTTTCATTTTTAATGTAGATTACGAATATGCATTTACCTAAATAACGTTAAAAAAAAACCCAGCTCTCAACGCATGGCTATTTTTCAATGAACTATTGCCTGAACTACTGAAACAGTTCTGAGAATTTTCGATGACTGACAGTTATTCCTCAATGCATACTAAAATTCCATCCGTATGTAAGTTCAAAATTACAAGAGATCTTCATATTTTATTGAGAATAAATTGTAATGGAATGTAAATGAAAATTTTCATTTGTTTTTGTAAGAAAACGGTAACGGGTTGGTGTTTTGTTTTAGTGTCCGCAAAAACCTCCGTCTAATCTTCCGAAATTATTAAATATGTTAAAAATCAACTCTCCCATAATTTAATAGAAACTTGCATTAGTACCTAAAAGTTAAATAACTAACATACTTTTTGCTCACCTTTGTTATCAGTTTGCCGTTAGCTTCTCAGCGTATATCTAATCGATGTAAGACGATCGATTTATGTATGCCGACGTGTTCCGTACGCTGTCTGCGCTCTTCCCAGCCGTTTCCCGGCTATTAATCCAAACAAATTGCAAACCGCAACAGCACACATTTGCCAATCTTGATGATGATGCACTTTCAATTCGAACTCACTTGTTAATAATATTTCTGCAAGTGGAAAATTTCTTCTCCACGGATCACTACTTTCTTCCCGTCTTCCTGCTGCTGCTGATCACTACTTCTATTATTTTTATGCTTCTTCAAATTAAATTTTGTTTACATTGTATTCGTACAAAGAGCATGAATGATTCATCCGCGTTTAGAATTCACTCCCACTACTTTTCGTTTGCTCCAATATTATTCCAGCTACAAAAGGAACCCAGAAAAGAAACATTATCAGATTGGAAAAAAATGACGAAATCCAGAATGATTCTGCAGAAACAACGCAATCCCGTCCCGTTCCCAAGCCACGTAGAAAGCGAGGAGCAACCACGTATAATTTCTCCCGTAGCGCTAGTGCTCCCGATTCTTCTCTTGCGTTATTCTGCGAGAACACACACACACAAACAAAAACACAACAGCTTGCAGTATTCCAATTTTCTGTAGCCGCTGCCGTTTCCGACTAATTTTCCAACCGTTGTGTTCTGCAGCGAAAAGTGCGATTCTCGTTTTCGTCAGCAGCTCGAGCCACTTCCGCACAAGCAGAATCCAAGCTGCTTCTCTCGTTCGTCTTCTCCGATACCAAAAGCAGAAACGAAAAGAAAAAAAATCACACCGTCGTACGTAACATCTCCTGCGTCGCAGCAGCGCACTTTCAGACCCGCCGTACGTCGTCCAACCGCAACCGTGTCGTGTTCTCGAGCGACCACCGCACCACAACACAACCCGCGCGCTCCACAAACCGAAGGGTAGAGCAGGAAAAAAAAAAGACTAAAAACCGCACCGACGACGACGACGGCTAAGAAAATTCCAACACCTTTGATGAAATCCGCTTTTAACCCACCAAAAGCCGACTGCCTCCAAGAAACTCGTTGCTCACCGGATATCGGAGATGTTCCGTAAACGATTGGAACCACTTTCGATCGGTTCCAGGATGGGCGCGGACCGAAATTTTTGATTTTTCTTCGCACTACCAAACACACGTTTTGCTGGGATCCGGAGTTACAAACGCGAAAACGTAATGGCGATCCGACCGAGCGAGGCCCTCGCTTCAGTACCGGTGGAGGGAGGGAGATGGGTAGATGTGTGCATCGCGCTTGTACTCGCTAATCAACGACGAGGTGATGGGTTGTTCGATTGGCAGCTAGGTTGCCTGCTGTGAAGGTTGATGTGAAGGAAGTTGGTTAGAATTTCCTTTGTTGGAGGTTTTGCTGCATAGTCAAATTGCGTCGCACAGTGGTCGAAAATGACAATAGGGGACTTTCATGAACCAATTTTCTGTCAAACACGAACCAACGCCTGATTGGTCGGGCGAACGTATAGAAACGCGAGAATTTTTACAACAGGGAGCCAATTTTCTAGTATTTTTACAGTCGACTGCGTCGCCTATAATGAAATAGTTTTTGCACGGTCCTTTCCGCGAGAGAAGAAGAACACGTAACAAACAAAAATAAGCCAGTTGTCTCCTCTTACTCTTAGATTTCCACCGGTTGCTATAACCGCCGTGGTAAAAACTCATGTGCACACTAAGTACACTATAATTTTTTACGCATAAGAAAAAATGGAGAACTTGATTTTTGTCTTTTAAATTTTCTTGTTTCAATTTATTGTATTCAAATCAAAATAAAAGCGTCTGATCAAGAATAATTTGTTCATAGCAAAATAGCTGATACTTCAACTAAATTTACTAGCCACTAGAACTATGCTACCTACAAACTAGCAGCACAAGATAAAGAAAGATCAGCTACAGAGCAACAGAAGCAAGGTGAGGTTTTCGGTGAAGAAACCTGACCGATTTACGACCAGGCCAATCCAGGTGCAAGCGATCGACTCTTGGAACGATAACAGGTTACCGTGGAATTGCAGAAGTCGGTGGTACTCTTACAGAGGTCCATTTTGCAGTATAAATTTTAATTCATCTGAAAACTTACGCCCATATAATTCCTCCTGGGGCAGATCCTATGGCAGTTGAGATACCGTTTTTAGATTCTTTGATGACCTTCACCGTGTTGATCCGCACGACTTACGAGGGAAGCTCATCGGATATCTGTGGTGACATCTAATTGTACAGGACATTCGGTCCCGGTTCTTCTTCTTCTTTTTCGCATTCCAATCTTATTGCATATCGCATATTAGCTTATTGCGTGCTCTCAACTTAGTGTTCTATCTAGATGCATTTCCACAGTTATTAATTGAGAGCTTCCCGCATAAACGCGAACCATAAATTGACCTTACCAAAAATGGTTAAAAATTGTTTATAATCCCTGCTAAACTTCAACTGAAATGGTTATGGAACTTTACAAGAACGTTTAATGATAATGTTTTAACCTTATGTATTATGGTTTTTTTGGAAGCGGACCTTACAAATAATGAGTTGTTAAGAACCATTACCGTTCCAAATTCTTGTTTTCTCCATACATTTTCGGAAAGAGAACTATATTAGAACCTTTTAACTTATGGTTTGAGAACTTTAATGGTAATGGTTATAGTAGTCAGTAAGGTCCACGAATGGTTTTGTAACATCGATCAACTTTATGTGGAATATATCGCGAATTGGTTGCCTGTAATTTACTGATTACCAATTCACGATATATTCCACGTAAAGTTGAGCGATAATGCAAAACCATTAATGGACCTTACTGACTACCATAACCATTACCATTAATGTTCTCAAATAATAAATAAAAACGTTCTTATATAGTTCTCTTTCTGAAAATGTATGGAGAAAACAAGAATTTGGAATGGTAATGGTTCTTAACAACCCATTATTTGTAAGGTCCAGTTTCAAAAAACCATAATACATAAGGTTGAAACTTTATCATTAAACGTTTTAAAATTTATGGTTCGCGTTTATGCGGGTTTCGATGCCTGTACCATTTTTGCATTCGTATAATTGTGTGGCAAGTACAATCATACTCTATGCCCAGGGAAGTCCAGACATTTTCCAACACGAAAAATTCCTAGACCGGACCGGGAATCGAAATCAGCCACCTCCAGCATGGTCTTGCTTTGTAGCTGCGCCTTTACCGACTGAGCTAAGGGAAGCCCGGTCCCGGTTACATGGGTTAATTTTTCATTTCGGGAGATTCAATCTGCTCGATGGTGGCTGAACTCATTATTTGTGAAAAGGGAGTAACTCGAAACCTGAATTCTTCCTGAAAATAAAGGTAACACAATGTATTTTATAAAAACTGAGGTTTATGAAAAATATACCCTTAACTGTTGAACTTTCAGCTTTCTTTTTAATATTATTATAAATTACTAATCCTTTTCCACCCAAAAACTAATTTGATCGACTACATGTGCCATTGCGATTGAATTGTAAATTTTGTAATGACATTTATTTATCCTTGGTATACATTGTACGAATCTCACGGTGTTATTCTGACTTAGTATAATTTTGAAGAGAATTTTAATCGGATCAATGCATAAAATTTGCCTATCCCAAAAATGATTCAATTTAAATCTATCTTTGCTTAGTAATATTTTTGAGTGTAGCCAGCACTCTACACGTTACGTAATGTTTAAACGGGCAGTCGTTGTTTCTGTGTAATCCCTGAAAACTGAAACCTTGCTTCTCGTGATGTTAAATAAATTCTGCTGCATGGGCTATAATGCTTCGAATTTGCTTCGAAATGTCAGACATGTGTTTATTTTACAAAACGCGTGAGTGTTTTTATTGTGGTTTCAGCTTTTCTTTATTCCCTCGCGAGAGTGAACATAATCGATTTTCCTCAACGATGAAACATTCGCACTTTTCCATAAATCGCTAACAAATGCAACGATGACATCTGAAAGTTGTGCCCTGGATGTCGCTAGCAATAGCACCGGTCAAGGAGTATCATCGATAATCGGTCCGCTAAACTTTACCAAGGATGAGAGCTGTAATCCTCCACCGTCTCGTTTGGCGGACGACACATCCGTCGACTGTATGTTCTGCGACAATGTGTACAACTTTAGGCAGGGAGATGCCAGAGATCAGTATCTGGCCCATCTGTACATGATCCATCGGTTGGTAATTGCGGATATCGGTCAAGTGGAATGTTTGGCCAGCTACAGTCGCTTCTGGAAGGAGCAGTTCCGGGATCATCCAGTTGAAAAATACTGCTCTGCTTTACTGTTGAATCATCTTCCGGACGGGACACCAGCTAGCAATGAAAAGTACTTTATGCTAAGTGATATTGAACCGCTGGATTATGAACTGAGACAACGTTTAAAGCGAGAGATGATGGAGTTGGTTCTGGCGAGACATCAGTTTGAAAGAACAGATGGCAATTTTAATCGAGGCTGTTTGTATTGCCGTGATTTGCATGCGGAAACGAGGGCAGAATTCCTGGAACATCTTTACACGAAACATTTCCTTTTGCTGGGTAAAGCGGAGAACCTAGTATTTGTAGATGAGCTGATCGATACAGTACAAGAAAAAATGGAAAACATGATTTGCCTGTTCTGTGAAAAGGTCTTCAAGGATCGACCGACGCTCAAAGAGCACATGAGAAAGAAAGGTCACAAAAGGATAAATCCGGATAATAAGTTCTACGACCGGTTCTTTTTAGTCAACTACAAAAACGATCGCCTAAACAAGCCTACAAAAACGATCGCCAAGCAACCGGTTCCGGTAGAAGCTCGCGCTAGAGAAAGTTCCCCGTTTCATTCTGAGGATTCGAATTCGGACTGGTCCGACTGGTATGGAGAGGAGCAGCCAACGACGTGCCTCTTTTGCTCGATTGCGAAACCAAAAATAGACGATTTGAAGCAGCACATGAAAACGGAACATAGCTTTGATTTCGATGCGCAGGTTATCGGTCTGACGTTTTACCAACGTGTGAAAATTGTGAACTATATTCGCCGCCAAATACATGTCTTGAAATGTGTCCTTTGCCGCGAGGAGTTCACATCGAAGGAAAAACTGCAGTCTCATTTGCAGGACGCTGGACATTACTCCATCGGAGAGCAACAGTTTTGGGATCAACCAGAATTTTTCTTTCCTACGTACGAAGATGACCAATTTCTTTGCCATCTGGAGGACGACAGTCCGGATCAGTCGGACGACAGCTCGGTGGTCATTTCGGAGAGGGTCAAAGCGAACGTCTGCACCGAAGCCGAGTCGTTATCACTTGAAAATTTTAGGCTAGAATAATGTTAAGCTTTGTGATTGAAATCATAAATTGGATATATGAGAAGCTTTATTCACGAAAATTGTCTTGAAAAAATAGTAGGTATCTAATTAAAAAAATAAATATTCAAATTACCACTAATCTGGTCCATTCACATCTTCCTGTTCACCGTTTCCAACCAGCTGCCTTTGAATCTGTTTACTCAGTGCATCCGCCAGACAGTTACCAAATGATTCCACGTATGCCGGACTCAAGTGAGACAGTAGCGAATACGGCGTCTCGTATCGTTCGTTATCCAGCTCGCCATCCCGGTCGGTACAATCGAATCCGTCGCCGACAATCTGTAGGCCTTCTCCATTCAATTTAACACACGCTTCCGTCCCTTCCAGCGTACGAAGGTTGATGTAGGCTTCTGAGTTGTTTGGCTTGAAGCGATCGGATATTCTTGCTTCCTGTACGTGCCGGATTATGTCCTGAATGACACCGTTGGCTTCTTTGGTCCAGTCTAGGACGTCATCCTGGCCGGAGTAAAAATTTTCGTAGGCGTTTTCCATTTAGCCTTTTCGGCTTCAAATTTTGGTAAAGCTTATTTACTTATAGTTATAGTATACACGCTATTTCAAAACTACCCTAATTTGGGTACAATCCACCCAGATCGGTCAAAACTGAACCTACCCAAAAATGGGTAAACTGTGTTGGGAGTGACAAGTTGACAAATGAACAACATCGACATGAATCCGATCGACGTTGTTCATTTGTCAACTTGTCACTCCCAACACAGTTTACCCATTTTGGGTAGGCTCAGTTTTGACCGATATGGGTGGATTGTACCCAAATTTGGGTAGTTTTGAAATAGCGTGTACATACTTATGATTCATGCACGGCGAATGAGAATGACCAAAATTTGAGTTTAGTTCACTCATAATCGCCAAAAGTGCACACGGCGAATGAGAACGACCCAAATTTGAGTTTAGTTCACTCATAATCGCCAAAAGTGCAGGAACTCAGCGATGAGTAAATTTGCCTCATGTTTTCCCAGGTTTTCCAGGATTTTCCCGAATTTTAGAATAGTAAAGATTGGATTCACTCAGTCTATTGGTAATACCCCGAGACAGAATAAAGTTTTCGTCAATTTCCTCATTTTCCGGCAGATTTTTTAGGTTTTCCACACGAAATCATGACACAAATTTTACTCATTGCTGAGTTCCTGCACTTTTGGCGATTATGAGTGAACTAAACTCAAATTTGGGTCGTTCTCATTCGCCGTGCAGGAACTCAGTGATGAGTAAATTTGGCTCATGATTTCCTGTGGAAAACCTAAAAAATCTGCCGGAAAATGAGGAAATTGGCAAAAAATTTATTCAGTTTCGGAGTAGGTTAACTATCCCATTTCCGGCCTATTAAGCACAACCCGCACTTAGTCTTTCTTAATCTAGCGCAGTTTAGCTCCAAACGGAATGTTATTATCACTGATGGCTTCCAAATTTATTTTTCTTTCCGTAAGTACCGTAAGATTTGATAAAAAATCAACCAATCGTTGAGATATTGTCAAAAGTCTAACACTGCTTCTTGACGCCAAACTCGGCTTACGGATTCTAAACTCGGCCTAACACATTCAAACGCCATTGAAATGCCAATGAATTAACTTCGGCCTATCGGATGAAGATAAAAATTAATTCGGTCGTAACGCTTCTTTTGTTTTGCAAACCTTCATATCACACGTTCTCATCGACTTCGTTCGGTAGCTTATTAATTAAAGTATCGTACCAAACGCATAATTGACTTGTTACAAGTCAATTTTGTTAACTCTGAAATCATGGATTTATTTGAAGTTTTCTGCTCGATATGCCCAAAATAGGTGATTAGGTCGAAGTAGTTCTCTACCCTAGTACCACACGGATAGAAATCTCGTTACCTTTTGTCAAATTTCTATTGATAATTATTCATAAAATGTATAAGTCAACCTCGAAGTCAACACTGTCAAACACAAACGAAGTGGCAGAAGATTAACTGGCGAAGAAATCAATTGAATTAATGTGGTTCGCTGTCATAGAATTTTCTTAGAAACTTGTGCCATCAGCCACCAGATGGGCTAGTATTTTTGTTTTGATTTGAACATAGTTGATTTTGTGTGCAATATGATCTTTGACAGTGCCCGAAAAAAAAAATACAGTGAAATTTTCAGTGGAAACAATGCTCTAACATTAATATTTATTGTCGACAATAAAAATGATTGTTATAATCAAAGATGAATACTAAGATGAAACTGTCGGAAGAAAAACTTTCTATTTTAGTGTCTTCTTTCACGGTCCCTTTCATCCAATGAGAACCCCCCGTATTCAAGGTAATTTTGTGGTTTTGCTGCCCCCTCGGAATAGATGAAATTTTGCGCTCATTTTTATCAAAACAATCACACCAAAATCAGAGATGTCCCATTTTTTAATTACTCGATTAACAACTAATCGATTATTTTTTGTTCGCTGTGCTGCCATTTTTCCACCAATGAGAGTGCAGCACATGTTTGAAACGATCGGTGATGATCCTGTGGAGATGTTAATGCTTATATCGGCATGATCTAACCGATTATAAATAGTTTACTTTTCGGTTCGTTAATCGATTAAACGATTATTCGAATGAAAATCGAACATCACTAGATGAATGTGAAACGTCATTTCAAATATAAGGCCGTTCATAAATAATGATACAATTTGAAAGGGACCGGGGCTAATCACAAATTACGTCTCCATGGTAACTGAAATAAACACGAGTGTTCACCGGTTGTTATAATGTTGTACTCTTCCGAAAACGGCAAAACTGCTACCTAGCTGTACAATGAATGTACATAATAAAATGTTGTTACAATGTTTTTTATCGTATTTTTCATTTATTTTATTGTTAACATGATTCGATCATGAACAATAACGAACAACTCTATTACAATCGAGATTACCATTCCTAGTTGAACACTCAGTCGGTTAACAACGTCCCGGTCTCAGTCGCGCGGCATCTAGTTTTTTTCGGTGTTTTTTCCGCCCGAGCGGTTTTTTCACCCTCCATTGGGTGCCCCAAGTGACCAGTGTGCAACAGAGGAAGTGGAATTCCATGGGCCGAGCCCCTTGGAGTTGCCATCCAGCTTTAATCCACCCCGGTAATCCATCCGGTCGTCAAGCCATTTTTTTCCATCATCGTGCCGACCCACCAACACCAATCATCACCACCAGCAGCAGCAAACGGACCATCTAGCTGCAACGGCTGATAGGTTGTTTACAACCGGCATAAGTATTAGACAATACATTTTGCAAGTCCATTGCCTCCCTATTGTAGTTTAATTTTGCCTCGTGGCGCGTGACTCTGTCTCTCACCCCTGGTAGGGGAGTATGGGTCACAGTGAGACAACTTTTTGCAAGTAGATATAAGTTTTTTTTTTTTTTTTTTCGATTTTTTTTTCTTTTTGATTTGTTCGTACGTCGGGCAAAAAATTTAATTACTAGTAATTAAAATTAATTAATTAGTGAAGGTTTTATTTTTTTTTTCCTTCTTAAGTGGTTGCGCACCGCTTTTGCGCAACACTTATGGCATCTTCCGATGCCTACGTTACGCGAACCAGATACTATGAACCGTCTTCGAAAGGACCATGGGTTGTTTTTTTTCGGCCCAAAAATAAACCTTTGAAAACTCTCGACATAACGAGAGATTTGCTGCGTAAGTATCCGGGAATCTTGGTACACAAAGAAAGATTCAACAAACTGCGTGTAGAAGCACCGACTTATGATGTGGCAAATAAAATTGCTGATCACGAGCTTTTTAGTGTTGAGTATAACATCTACATCCCTTCTCGAGATGTGGAGATAGAAGGCGTGGTCTCCGACGCGAGTCTGACTGTCGAGGACTTGAAACATGCCTCGGGAACTTTTAAAAACTCGACATTCGCTACCGCGCTAGTGAAGATACTGGATGTAAGGCAACTGCATTCAGCATCTTTGCTAGACGGTAAAAAAGTTTATAAACATTCAGACTCGTTCCGGGTGACTTTCGCAGGTTCAGTTCTCCCAAACTTTGTTAAAATTGATGGTGCTTTTTTTCCGGTGCGACTGTTTGTACAGAGGGTATATAATTGTACCAACTGCAAAAGGCTGGGACACTCGGCCAGCCATTGCGGCAACAAAACTCGTTGTGGCAAATGTGGTGAAAACCACAAAGAGGATTCTTGCCACAAAGAATCAGTAAAATGCGCTTACTGTGGCGAGAATCCTCACCCCTTGCAGGAGTGCCCGATGTACAAACAGCACTCCGATAAAGTGCAGCGTTCAATCTCTGGACGCTCCAAGCAGACATATGCTCAAATGTTGAAGGCTGCATCAGCCGTCCAAGATGCAAACCAATTTTCGGTTTTGTCAGTTGAAGAATCGGACTCTGACTCATCCGATGAAGGTGATTCTACGGTGGTACACGCACCTTCAAAAATAGACGGTTCCTCAAAAAGAAAATGCCCCTCCCCGAAAGTGCGCCGTAAGAAAACTAAAGTCACCTCCAGACGATTGCCAAATTCCCAGGGTAATGGGGATGAAAAAACAAAACCGAAGGCTCCTGTTGATCCAATCCCTGGATGCAGCAAGAATTTTCCGCCATTGCCCAACAAAGATAAAAAAAATAAAAAAGCTGCTCCTCAAACTTCTCAAAAGAAATCCAAGTCCGAACGAGGTTTGCTAGCTTTTTCGGACATTGTGGAATTCATATTAAACATGTTCAACATACAAGACCCTCTAAGAAGCTTAGTTTCTGCCTTGCTTCCAACGTTAGAATCATATCTTAAGCAATTGACTGTTTCATGGCCCCTCCTTGCATCAATCATATCTTTCGATGGATAATTCGTCGAACGAGGTTGAAGATATGATCACTGTGCTACAGTGGAACTGCCGTAGTCTAGTGCCTAAACTAGACTCGTTCAAATTTTTACTTCACAATTCTGATTGTGATATATTTGCTCTCTGTGAAACATGGCTTTCTTCCGATAAAGAACTCAACTTCCACGATTTTAACATTATTCGCCTGGATAGAGACGATTCTTATGGAGGAGTACTTTTAGGGATCAAAAAGTGCTACCCTTTCTACAAAATTTCCCTTCCTGCTCTAT